TCTGTTGGCCTGAGGTGGCCACCACCCTTTTTTTTTTTTTTGTTTTTTTTCTTCAAATTTACATAAAAATATGTCATTTCTACTCCTAAATGTGCACTTTTAACTTTTGGCCACCACATTTACCGAATCTGACACTTTAACCCCCATTATCATAATAAAAAATAATTTGGTGACCATCTCTTTTCCAAGGCCAACGCAGCAAATGCCCCGCCTGGTCGGTGGTCAATATCTTAGGGTTATAAATGTCAATTTCTGTTAAATATGTTTTTTTTTTTTTTTAAATAGCAAGGGTAACAGAGTGTAACCGACTTTGTATTATATGCATGGCGTGTTTAGAAAGAAAGGTAATTTTTTTTTAATTAATTTGTATTTATTTAATATAACATCATTCCAAAAGTTACTAGAGTCATAAATTAATATCGTTGGGACCATATAAATTATATTAATTAAAAAATGTATTAATTAATCAATAAATTAGTAATTTATACTATTCAAAACGAGTAATGTTACATATACAAACAAGTTTTACAAAGATTTATGTACAAATTGATATGGTATAAAATAAATGAAAGAGTGAATATAATGATTTTGACTTTTTATATTCACTCATCTATTCATTTTATGCCACATCAGTTTGTATACAAATCTTATAAAGATTTGTTTGTACATCTAGTATTATTGATTCGAGAAACATACATTTAATCAACTAAAAATTCATTATATTTTACCAATCTAGTTAATTGAATATGAATTAATCAACTAAATATATATTAAAACATTAATTTAAATTCATTGTACTTGTGTACTTAATTAAATAATATTTACTATATATAATAAATTCATTATACTTATGTACTTAATTAATTAAATAATATCCATGGTATATAATTGCATTAATTTAATTAAATGTTTATATAAACAATTCAAAGTCTTATATAAACAATACAAAGTCTTATTATATTTCATAATTACAATGATTTCCCATCTAAAAAGTCTTAAAAAATCAACCATGACCATGATCTTCATTTCAGGTTGTTTGTGTTTGTTGCTCATCTCACTACTTTTCATCAACTTCTTCTACAAATTCTGGTGGACTCCAATTTGCATACAGTGTAAGATGAGGTCGCAAGGTATCAAAGGTCCTTCTTATAAATTCATTCATGGAAACACCAAAGAGATCATTGAAATCAGAAATAAAATGATTCCAATTTCCAATGGACTTATCACATCACATTTTTCCTATGGTTCTTCCACATATTTACTCCTGGATCAAGCTATATGGTATTATGATTTTCCTTGAACTTTTCTATTATCATTTAACAATCGGAGTCTCCAACATTACGAAATATTATTTTTCTTTGTAGGGATGAACTTCCTTTACTGGTATGGTCCACAACCTCAATTAGTAGTCACTCAGCCTGAGCTTATCAAAGAGATACTAAAGAATGATAAAGAGGGGGCATTCCCCAAAACGAAGGTTCAAGGTTTTATGGAGAAGTTTCTAGGGAGGGGCTTGCCACAAGCCAAGGTGAAGAATGGTTTAAGAAAAGGATGCTAGCTAACCATGCTTTCCATGCAGAGAGCTTGAAGGTGAATTATGGTCCATCGTTTTCTCAATTACTTATTTATATTAGAACATTGAAATAAAAAAATTGAAGACTAATTGATCGCCTCGAACATGAGTTATGGTTTCTTTTCTATAGAGCATGATTCCGACAATAATCGCCAGCGTGAACATAATGCTTGAGAGATGGAGACAGTATGAAGGGACGAAAATTGATGTTTTCAATGAATTTAATGTTTTAACGTCAGATATAATCTCCAGGACAGCTTTTGGAAGCAACTACTTGGAAGGGGCGAAGATATTCAGGATGCTGACAAGGATGATTTCCATCTTTTCCAAAAATGAATTCAAAATTATAACTCCTGGACTTGGGTGAGATTTACTTTCTTTTGATCTTTGTGGCTTTCTCTATTTGTTTGTGTGTTTTTTAACTGGATTTTGAGTGAGCCAAAGCACAAGTAAAAGGTATACATGAAAAACTTCGATTGTTGCAATATACTTCGGAAAACACATGATGAAAGTGAATCAGACGAACTCCAACGAGGTGTACGTGCCTCCATCATGAAAATATTAAAGAAGAGAGAAGAGAATGTGAAGACAGAGGAATTGGATAGCTATGGAAGTGATTTTCTTGGAAAACTACTAAAGGCTTATCACAGCAAGGACGAGACTAAGAAAATATCTTTAGACGACATGATAGATGAGTGCAAAACATTTTACATTGCAGGACATGAAACGACGACAAACCTACTCTCCTGGACTATTCTTCTTCTTGCAACTCATACCGATTGGCAAGATAGAGGTAGGAAAGAGGTTCTGGAATTATCTTGCCAACAGATTCCAAGTCCAGATAGCATCTCAAGACTAAAGACTGTAAGCAAATTAAGCACAACTTAAGACCAAAAGTTTATTAATATTTGTTTAAGCTTATTGTTTAAATTATCTTCATTTTTTCCGTGTAGATGAGTATGATTATCAATGAAAGTTTAAGGCTGTACTCTCCTACTGCTTTGTCAAGGAAAACAAATAAAGAAGTGAAATTGGGGAAGCTCTTAGTTCCAGCTAATATTGAAATTTTAATTCCGATTCTTGCAGTTCACCATGATCCTGAAATATGGGGAGAAGATGCTCACTTATTTAAACCAGAAAGATATGCAGAAGGGGTGGCTAAAGCTACAAACAACAATATGTCGGCCTATCTTCCATTTGGTTTGGGACCAAGGACCTGCGTGGGCATGAAGCCATGAACTTTGCAACTACACAAGCAAAGGTTGCAGTCTCACTGATTCTTCAACGTTACAAGTTCACTCTGTCACCGACTTATGTTCACTCTCCGGTTCGGGCTCTCACAACTTGCCCCCAATATGGAGTTCAAGTAATACTTGAGGCAGTGTCCGAGCCATAAAATTTGTTGAGGAGAGGCAAAGTTTGAATAATAATTTAGTTAAAATTATAGTTATGACTAAATTTTTGTATTTTCATTTAGTAGTATAAATATCTTTGAATAATTATATAATGTTTTGACTGTGATATTTAAAAGGAGTCCTCGCATATTTTTTCTGTTTAACCCCAATTATCATTAAATTTTTTAATTACAATTTTATCCCTAAAAATATTACTAAAGAAGAATAAAATAGTTATATGTATTTAAAATTTAAATTTTCTCTTCCATTCATAAACCGTATATCAATAAACCCTATGGTCTGATCATGCTTTAGAATTATAGACGTAAAAATCTACCTGTACGGAAGGAGAGTCTGATCCCGTGAGGTTGAGGCCACTAGCAATCCGCTGCACCTGTACACGTAGAGAAACAAGCGTGAAGCGAACGGAAAACACCGGGGTGGTGTTTGCCGTAGGCACTCCGATGCTCAAGTCAGCAAAGCTGAAAGAGGCTAGTATGGTAAAGGCTAGGGAGTAGAGACGTTATCAGAAGTCTAGTCGGGGACTATGACTACAGTAGTAATGTGAAGCTCTCAAGTAAGAGCTTCGGGTGAGAAGATGTAATGTAATCTAATCTCCCTTGTGAGAGGGCTGGTCTCTGCTTATATAATGACTGTCTGGTCTCCCAGTCCTAGTGGGAGTAAGAGTCCTAGTGTGACTCTGATACAAACCCTAGAGGAATTAGGACGATGGTGAGCTGTCTTACCAGTGTTCGAATAGGAATGTGATCCCGAACATAAAAATAACCTCGAGTAGGAAAGTGACATGAATAGGAAGGTGACCTTGAATAGGAGATCGATCTGGAATAGGAAAGTGATCTGTGGGTACCGTGGGCTTTAGACTTGCTCATAGGTCCAGGAAGTGAACTAGGATTTGGAGGCCTGGACCTGATTGTTTGGGCCGATTGTATCTCGTATCAAATGGGCCTAATCCAGATAGGGCTGCATCGGGATTGGGTATGGTCTCTTCCTCATTCAGTCCCGTTCTCCTATTTGGGCCAAGGACGATTTTTGGCCCTAACAAGAATTTATTTATTTATTTATTTATTTTCCAAACAATCTTGAAAGTAAAATCAAATGAGAATGAATTTTATCTCTGAACGTTACATTCGAAATAAGAAGCATAAAAAAAATTAAAAGCATAAATAAAATTACATTCGAAACAAGAAACATAACATATATTAAAAGCATAAATAAAAGCGTGTTTTTGAAAGTAGGTGTGATTAATAAAACCATTTGCATATGCTAAAATATTTTAGTGGGGGCCTGAAATAAAAAATGTAGGGAGCCATGAGCATAACTTATTTAAAAAATATCTGAAATATTAATTAGCTTTTCCAAGGCCAACGCGGCAAATGCCCTGCCTGGTCGGTGGTCCTAAGGTGCTCCGCCTTAAATCTCAAATTGAGAAATGGTAAGTTTTAACTTAAAAGTTTAATTTACAGCACACTTTAAGGATTTAAATGCGACATTAAAACTGAAAAATAGTTTCCATAGCTTGAATATGAAATTAGAGTGTGATCGAAGATTAACATCAAGTATGCCAAAAATAAGTACATTGATCAAGTAGTGGGAGGTGCTTACTCTCAAGTACCCCTTGGTGACTTTATAATATACAGCAATAAGTTTTTGGTGATGTTCGTCGTTATGTTCTTCTCAGTTGTAGAGAAATATCAAATGAAAGTATATAATGATATAGGATATATTAGGCACGTTAAAATAGAAACTCTATTAAAAATGTATACATTTGGTACTCATATTTGTACTTAAAAGGATTTTTGTATAATAAATCCAAATTTTATCAATTATATTCATTCATAATTAGAACTAGAAAGTCCATCATCACCCTGAGAAACACCCAGTGCCAGAAACAAGATTCACAACACGGCCAAGACGTGGTTTCTCTGTGACTTATTAGCATGCTGATGCTTGGATATGCAGAATATTCTCGTCTAAACAAACTGGAAATTGGAAAACATCTCCAGACCGAGTAATTAAATTTTTCAAACTATGGCTATAACTTTTATATGACTCTAGGTCACTGCAAAGGAGAATCAAAATACAAGCAGCAAAAAACCTCACTTTCTATACAGCTAGCCTCAAGTAGTCTACTTTGAGTACGATGGCAGCCTCAAAATATACCCAGGCAAGTGAATCAATAATACAATATGTCCCAAAATCAACTGACAATTCAGGAAAAATGCTAAGAGAGGAGCACGCAAGCAATACAAACTACAGATGAGACCTTCATTTCCTTCTCTTCCTGCCTCTACCCAATTGCCCAGATTTGAAAGCATGTTCTTGTTCTTGGAGAAAGGCTCTTGCCTTTCCATACTTCTCATTTCTTTCTTCCTCCAACTTTGCCTTCTCTCTTTCCTTTACCTGAGATAAGAAATAATTGTCTTTACGCAATTCACGAGCCGCACCTTTAGCTTCCCGTTTAACAAGTTTTTTCAACTTTCTTGTCTCAACCCGTTCACGATCTGGATCATAATCTCTGCCCTTAACAAAGCTGTATAACCATGAAATCGTTAGATGATTAATCCCAACCCAATCTAAGAAGCAAAATCCAACATAATTAATTTTAAGGTATTGAGAAAGAGATAAAGTGAGTAGGGAAAGGCTGAATTACTTCTCCTCAAATTTCGGATTTAGTAATTTGATGGGCACTGGCTTCTTCTTCCGCATTTGCAATGGTCGCCGCAACATGCTATGTTCATCAGCCTTTTTCTTAATAAGTAGAGAAACATCTTCAATTTTTTCTTGCAATGTAGACGGCATGTTATCTACTTGTGCTACTTCATGTAACAATATAGCAATTGGCAAGAAGATTTCCGGAAAGGAACTCAATCCTTCATAAACGTCGACAAATCCTCGAAGGGTTTCAATCACAGTCAACAACACACTAGCCCTATATGGAAAATATATTATTTTGTCAGTACATAAGTGGAATATAGAAAGTTATGGAGTATCCTTGCAACTTGTATTAAATCTACATCTAGATCATCATACTCATGCTAGTCAAATAAAACCTAAATGTAGCAAACATCTAGTAAACAAACTTCCGGAAGAAAAGTCAAATGACAGGAATCTTCAATTCTAATGCCCATATAACCACTAAAAGAAGGATCTTTTATGAAGGTTTAACCATCAAAATTTACAATAAACTGGATATTCAAAAAAAAAAGATGGAAGAAGGGCCATAATGTGTGGACAAAGCCTCATATATATTCAAATACATATTATGAAAAATGTACCAAGTATTACTAACCTAAAGTTGTCAGAGCTGAAAAAAGAAGAGTCCTCCGGCATGTCCATTATTATGAGAAAATTCATAGGACTAACATCATCTACACAATCCCTTATACACAGCAGGGGCCTGAGAGCTTTTGGATCCATAAGATGATAAAACTGCCACGAAAAGAGAGGATAACAGTTACTTCAATCATATATATAGAAGCGTGACAAGATGTATGATAGTATTATAAATTAGTCATATACCTCAGACTCCTGATGTGATGTTTGTTTTCTGTCAGTAGCTGCCATCAGCACAGTTCGGAGAAATATTATCACCTCCGGGCAGAACTTCTTAGATTGTCTACTAACCTGCAATATTGTTTGTCATATAAAACCCAGCAAGAAAAATTCTTGATGAAAAAGAGTACTAAGAAATATGTCCAATAAGAATGGTATCAATTGAATATGTTAAATCAAATATTTAAAAGAAAAAATCAAAACTAAGGTAACTGCTGCTAATATCAATGGCAACCATTGAACATCAGAACTGCAGCATGCTTGGAAGTGACAAGGGTGCATAAACAGATATAGCACTGAGACAAGCAGGGGCGTGATAACAAGTCCTAAAAAACTAATTGGCATGTGATAATGGCCAAAGAAGCACTCGAGCACCTTCCATCAGCAACCACAGGTTAAAACATGCAAGTGAAGTGTATGGATAGCTGATGGAACAGACCATGCTCCTACAATTCGTTAAAGCCCTTTGCATTTAATCTTACTATCTAATGATAAAAAAAAAAGTGTATTAGAGGGCATACATACATTGAGAATCATGGAACATAAGAACGAACCAACAGCGATATCCCGGCCTGACACAATAGGACAACGCATGAGATATTCACACATCAATAATATTGCTGGAGTCATTACAACATGACGGAAGTCAGAACATGGGAAAATCATGGACCACAGCCTCAAAAGAATTAATGTTTTCAAAGAAGGACAGCAGCTATTTTCTGCAGATAGTAAATATAATTGGTTAGAAGCCAAAATAAGACCAAGTTGGCGTAATATAATTAATAGGAGTGACATTCCTCAGTTATTTTATCACAAACCTGGGTTTTTGATAGCATCACAAAATTGTGTTCGAGTCCGTAAGATTCGCTGACGAGCACATATTGCAGCAAAGTATGGGATTTCTACACTCATCTCCATCAGTGGCTTGACCAGCAAATTTAGCAACTCGAAATTGAGGGCTTTTTTGTTTGGCAATACAGCAAAGTACTGCAATAGCACACCATAAAATACCTGGAAATGGGCAAATATGTTACTTAAAGTTTAGTCATAATGACAGAAGGCAAAAGCAGATATTCTGACGGCATCATATCAGAACCCTCATGATATAAGTACCAGGAAAAAAAAAAAACTCATAGTATGCAAGAATAATATTCAGCTCTCTACTGCATGGAGGAAAAATTTACATATTTCTCAATAATCCATTGCTTGTTATCCAACATCCCAGACCAATTTCAAGTCACTGACTACCTTCTTAAGTTTTTGAGCACTCAAAATGGTAAAGCATGTATTTCAAAGATATAATTAAACCACTACGACAAAACCATATGGATGACATTTACTGGTCTTGATGTGCATCCCTTGCTGTGATAATTTAACTGATTATTTAAAAAATAAAAAACAAAATCATATAGATTTCATGACTACAACCTTAATCATGTACGTACCATATCATCTATCTTAATGGACCAGCAATGGGTTAATGGGTTTTCTGCTCTATGAACTTGAAAACCAACTATAAGAAACCAGGGCATTAAGTTTAAGAAATTCACCCAAGTCCACTCACAGCTAAATAGGAAGAAACATGAACACAAATAAGATAACGCACACACATGCACACACAAAGGGAGAGGGGGAGAGAGAGCACACAGAAAGCTGCAAAAACTTGTATACCTGCATTTTCTTCCGATTTTCTGCAGCCAATTTAATTGCATTGCTTGCCTGAATTCGATTGATAACCAAAATCTTGTCAGCATTAGAACAATTATCCAGTAATGCAAAAAATTCATCCAAGCTCTTTGGAGCTTCAATTATATAAGGAATATCTGGTTGACCTGAAAGTTTAGTATGATTCACTTTCATTTTCTTTATATCTAGAGATTCCTTATCACTTTTCCTAATTTCCCCATGAGCGTTGCCCCTCGACTTTTTCTTGCCTCTTGGCTCTATCTCTTCCTCATCATCATCACTGTCATCATTTTCCTCATCTAACTCTAGTTCTTCCTCTTCTTCCTCCTCCAAATCTCTTTCAAGATCATCATCATCACTTTGTTCCCAGTCCTTCAAAGTTAGAGTCTTTTCACTTGCATCACTATCTTCATTGAATCCTTCATCAACACCATCAGACTCAGCATCATCTGAATCCTCAGAGGAATCATCATCTTCAATCTCGGTCGTATCCTTTCTTTCAAGAACCTCATCTACCCAGCCCCTTTTAGCCTTAGGCTCTTCAAGCGAGAAAGAATCACCAAGATCATCCCCGGACATTGATTTAGGCCTCTGGGCAGACAGTTTCTCATCAGCTTCATTGTCTTCATCACTAGTGTCATCAGTTGCAAGCATCCTCTTCCGACGCTCTTCCTGAAATTGTGAATTCACTAAGTTATGGAAAAGTAATTTAGTAAAAATTGAGATAATTTTTTTCAATTTTCAAAATACTAAAATTTCATATCTCTGTAAAGACAAAAGAATCCTAATACTTAATATTAATCACAACATGTTAACTAGAATATTTCGGTTCATTCTTCAAATAAAACATATTACCATTAAACCAAGCAGTGAATGTTTAAAGATAATTGATGAACAAGTTATATTGTTTTAAACATGATGGTAGATAAAAGATGATTAAAAACAAAAGTAATTCACAATCTTAAAATCTAGCCACATGTACATAATGAACAAGTTATTCTGCTTTCTGCAATTTATAGGACCACTAACATGGTTAAGCATCTTTGTATGTTGTTAACATTTAAAGAAATGAAAAGGTTGCTGGAAAAGTACATTTTGTGCCTTCCAGCCAACATCATGCATGGAGGCACTGCACACTTCAAATAATTTTTAATGCATTGTACCTATTCTTTCACCTCTCACATATCACTCTCCTCTATTACCTCTGACTTCGCCACTTTTTTCTTTTCTCTCTTTACTACCCATCAGCACCTCATCTTGCTCATGCATACATCTTCAGTTCTTCTCATTCTCTTTCTTTTTTAATTTCTCATTTTACTATCTTTCATTTCCAAATAAATGTCCTTTAAATAATTCTCACAATCTTAACATTTTGCTGCATAACTAACAGAGTGGGATTTAAAACCACCAGGGATTTAATAAATTTTGAAGATGGCTATGATTGACATTAATGAAAGATTTTTTCTCCGATATAAGATCTAGAAACTTAGGAAATTAAAGCATCCATAATTGTCATCTTATCAAAAAGCCAACCTAACAGCTATTTAACTATTTGAATTTCTAATTTTTGAAACCTCTACTTAATTAGTTGTTTAATCTTCTCTAAGATGGCTTTCAAAAGTATTGCATCGTGCTAGATCTTCACTTTAAGGGTTGTGGAGCTAGTTAATGTTATGACACTGGACATGAAAATGATTGTAGTCATTTGTATAAAAACATGGTTGAACTAATTTTGATAGCACAGACATGCTCATATCACAGAAAGCCAGCACATCAACCCAAAGACTAATCATATACTTGTTGAAGAAAACAAAGGAAACATTGCTTGTAAAGTTTTTTTATCTCTATCTTCGTTTTTCTAAGTTGATATGCTGATATTAGAAAACCTTTGTAAACTTATACAATGCGCTAAAACACAACTGGCAACCAAGCAATGCTATATGTAACTTACATGATCTAGGTCCATATCACTTGGAATCAGTGGAGATGAGGGTCTAGTCCAATTGTTTGGCAATCACAAGCTTACATAGATTCCACTTTGCTTGAAGTTGCAGGCTACTTATTTCAAATTTAATATTTCACCATCAAGAATTAAGATTATTTTTCAATACTGTAAACTTCTATAATAGCATACTTTGCATATCTAATATTAATTGGAGAAGGAGGTGCAATTGATCTACCAGGGAACCAAAAATTAAGAATGAAAGAGTATAAACAATGGGCAAGAATGCAAGTAAGATCAACATGCAAGAATGAGTGTGCACATACAGTTGAGAGCCATGCAACTTACCTCCAATCGCTCCAGTCGTTCTCTCTCCTCTTGGGCAATTTCTTCATCTGTCTTTGTCCTGTCTGAAGGTCGTGCACGCATGTCCAATGCCATCTCTTTCACAAGTTTGTCATAAGAATCAGGTTGTTCCTGCCAAAAACAGCAAACAGATATCAAGAGCAAAAGCTACAGCTTTATATCAGAAAAAAAGAAAGCTTTAGGACCTGGGTAACAAGGGTACAAAACACTTCCTTCTCTTTTCAATTTCAGGATGTATGCATAAAGGTCTTACGATGATAGTTCAACAATCAGAAAAGTACATGACATGCCAAGGAGATTTAGAAAGGAACAACATCCAGAGCATTGGAAGATTGGAAATAAAATTAGCAGCAAATTCAGTAATTAGTAAATAAAATTACAACATTCAGAATGTTTGAATAATCTAGAACCGTCAAAAGTATACCTGATTTAACGTGTCTATTTTTTGACCATCCAACTTCGCATGTTCATTAGGAATGTCCTTACTGACCAGAGCCTTCAAAGCATTCATCTTACTAGGTTCAGTCATTGACAATAGCACTTGAGATTGCACTAAAGACGAGAAATTTTTATCCAATTCTTCCATCAACTGTTCATTTTCTTCCTTATGTTTTGCTTTTTGTGCCTGTTGCGAAGAAAAAGAGAAATAAACAACTAAAGATCTACAGAAGATCAAGAACCAATAAGCCAGAATTCATAACATAAATTGAATCACCACCTTGAAATATTTGCTCTTTAAAATAACCTCCTCCATGATTTCCTTCTTGCTTTTATGCTTCTGCAACAAAAATATCATCTCTTTGTATCAATGTTAAGGTTCATATATCACCCAATAAAAAATTGAAGAGAAAGAGAGCAAGATTGAAAATGATCTTATAAGTGTATAAATGAAGCAGATATGAGACATAAAAATTAAAAGAGAAAAAAAAAAAACTTACATTTTCCTCTCCTTCCATTAAATCCCTTTCGACTGGGTCATGTGTATTATTATGAGAATTAAGTTGCTTTAAGACATTTGAGCTCTCTGAAAAAAAAAAAAAAAAAAAAAAAAAGGGAGATAATCAATACTATTGATCAAATCTCAAGTTGACTGTAATCAAATGATAAGCAATTGGCAATCACAAAAACTAACAATACAATGTTGATTGCTAAAATAAAAGGGCAACCAAGTAATCAAGGAAAAAATTATGAGCACTAAAGCCACTTAAAATTTTTATAACATCTACAGAAAAAATAGCGTCAGTATATCAACTAAACAAACTCACCACATGTGATCACTATTTGAATTTAAGTAAAATGAAGGCAAACGAAGAAAAGAAATAAGTTAAAGACATGTTCGAAAGATATAGAGGGTTTCAGATAATATATGTTAGACTATTATTTTTATGGATAGTGTCATAGTGCAATCTAATTATCAACATTAACTACTACTTCCAACACGATAGGTCCAAAAAATTCAGAAACAGAACACAGCACTAGATATACAACGGAACCATTAAGACAAAATTAAAAGCAATTATAAAGCTAAATTGAGGAATTATAGAACAAATGGCCTGACAACACACAAACACCAAGGAAGATCAGAGCTCAATAACGTTCAGCTCCCTCTTTTTCACAAATATTTCTCGCTAATTAACTGACATTCCTTCTCAAAATGGCGACTCAATACTAGTCTTCCATGAAGAGTATATAGATATCCTAAAACTGAAACTAGAAACAAAATCATTATAAACCTGACGCTGGCAGCTTCATCTAAACAAAAAGCATAGTATCTTAACAAAATAAAGCAAAACATACTCTTGTTTTCACCATCACCATCATCATCGTTATCATCATCAGATATCATTTCATCCTCAAAATCATCTCTTTCTGAAAATGGCCCAAACCCAGAAATTTCAAGCTCATCCTCTTCTTCATCAGATAAGTTGTACTTGTTCTTCTTGCTCAATTTCAACTATCAAATACAAAAATAAAAAATAAACTTCTCTGTAAAGGTTTCTACACTCCAAAATAAGATTATACAACGCTTAGTTAACAAACCTGACGCTGGCGCTGAGACCGCATAATGGCCTTATCAAACTCTCCCAACTCATCGTTTCGCTCACCAATTCGTTTATCCACAAACACGGATGACTTGCCACTCTGTTCGTACTCTTTGAGCAACGTCTTTGTCCTCTTCTGGATGGCAAGAGACCGAGAGAGACCGATACGAACCTCTTCGCCCTTTCGCTTCTTACCAAGGATGTCGAATTTGCGTCGAGACCAAATGGTTTCAAATGGATTTTTGGCGTTCGATGCTTTGTTCTTCATGGCCACTGTTTTTGGGCCGGCATTCTTCTTCTTTTTCGACTTCTTATTGCTGGTTTTGGTGTCCGTTTTCGCCATGGCTGCCGTTAGAGGAAGCAGAAGGGTTTAGGGTTTTGACTGTTGAGCAGAGTTTGTTATGATACGATGAGAAAATTTAGCTGGCCGGCCATCCCAGTTTCGATTTAAGAAAATGGCCTTGAAGTTTTTCATTATTTTTTAATTTAGAGAAGCTAACGTGGCATAGTTAGGATCCATTAAACATGTAAAATGGGTTAAAATAAAAAGATTAAAACATATAAGAACAAAATTAATTAATAAAAGTATTTAAAATTTGAAATTTGAAAAAGAGCTCCACCCATTTAAATCGCTTAATCGAAACCAATTCAGACAAAAATCGATATCTTCAATCCCTAAACGCATTCTGCGCAATTTCTGGTGATAACAGTCTACATTCTGACAAATTTTCACACCCAAATTCAATCATAAAGCTTCTTCCTTTCTTAAAATCATGGCTGACATTCACAATGAGGAGGAAAACCCAACGCCTCTTCGAATCGTAGAGTCCGGCTATGCAAGCAGTTCAATGGCTGCTCCGGTGGATCCTCCGATCAGTGAAGGTGTTCCAGCAGCGGAGACGACGGCGGCACAACAAGAGAGAGAANTGACTTGATGGTAATGAAACCGGGTTGATTGGACACGGGTCAAAATACCCGTTTCTTATTTTGATTATTAGCAGAAGAATAGTTTTGAATGTCCCCACGAATTTATCTAAACAGCCCCCTAAACAAATTTTGCAAATTTTGTCTTTGTTTCGCCCACTAACGGGGCAGTTTATTAAAAGGTCATTTGAAGTTTGAATTTAATTAAAAGACTATCAACTTTTAAAGTATTAACTAAATAGCCATATTATTAATTAAAAGTAATTAAACTTGATTAGTGCTTAATTAAGATTAATGAAGTATTATATAATCTTTTAAAAATTATATTATATTCCAAAAACCCAAAATTCTTGCAAACAAACCTAAACACCTTCTTCTTTCTCCCGCCATTAACGCATCTCTACCTTGGTTGTTGTTTCTTCTTAGCTTTGTCTACATCTTCTTCTTCCTCTGGATCTTCTTCTTCTTCCTCCTTCCTCTACATCTTCTTCTTCCTCATTCCTCTATATCTTCTTCTTCCTCATTCCTCTATATCTTCTTGTTCCTCTGTCATTAACACTTTCTTCTTCCTCCACCATTAACATCTTCTCTGCCAAATATCCCCCTCCTCCTCCTCCTGACATTTCGTCTAAGTATGTGTATCTCTTTTTTACATTTTATATTTAGATTTACAAAGATTTAATAATGGATGGGGTTTGGGTTATGATTTTGATTTAGTTGTTTAGGTTGTTGGGTTGTGTTTGATGTAATGCAAGTTGAAAGGAGTGAAATTTGTTGAAAATTGATTATGGGTATGTGTTCTAGGTATGATGGATCAATTGTAGGTGGAGATGACTGAAAATGTGTTCTGGGTATGATGGATCGCTTAAGCGATCTGATGTATCGCTTAAGTGATCTGGTAGATCTGGTAATGTAGCAGATAGATCGCTTAAGCAATCAGGTATGCAGCAGATAGATCGTTTAAGTGATCTGATAAAAGTCTGGTGTATAGGAGCAGATCGCTTAAGCGATCAGTAAGTGGCATAAGATCACTTAAGCGATCAAGTGTATCGCTTAAGCGATCCAGTATAAATAATCATGATCGCTTAAGCGATACAGCAGACCATATAAGCGACTGTGCATATTCTTTTTAAAATATTTGAACCCTTAGTACAATATTTAAGAATATTTTCTTTCTTGCATTACAGGTAGTTGGCTATTATTACACATGGAACAAGTTATTTTAGGTGTTGAATATTTTGGTGAGTGGATGGGGGAACAAAGTAGCTGGAAGTGGATTGGGAAGAGCAAAGAAGTTATACCAATTTTTGTGAGCATAGAGATTAGTTTTGATGAGTTGATTGATAAAATAATTAGGAGAGGTAATTTGATTTGCTCGCGTAGTGATATAGTTGTAAAGTATGTTTCAAGCAGAGTTCCTGAACATTATAAGGTACCTCCTGCTATATTAAAGTTAGATGAAAGTGTGAAGTTATATATGATTGATGTGGCCGATAATGGTTCGAGGCCGATTTTAAGGGTTTCTTTTGTAGAAAAACCGTTGGAAGTTGGTTCAAAGGAAGAGGATAATGAGGAAGTAGGCAGATATTTGCCTGGTTTTAATTTGAACTACGAGGCCATTGATTTGTTAGTTAAAAAATCAAGAGTAGACGGTGAATTGGGTGGCGAGGAGGACATTGTAGAAGAGGTTGGTGATCGGGGGGCAAAATGAAAATGTTGAGGAGGAGGACCCTGTAGATGTTCCCACAGATGTAGAGATTCTTTTAAATACAGATTATGCAGAAGGCATAGATTATAAGGAAGAGAACACTATGGTCATTTATGCAGGTTCAAAGGGGGCACTTGGAGGTAGTAGTGAATCAGCTCATGTTTTTACGGATGGATCAGATTTGCACATAGGGTATTTATTTAACAACAAAGAGAAAGTGGTGAGAAAGCTAAACTTGTTGCCGTGAGAGGTAATTTTGAGTTCATCACCAAAAAGTCAAATTCATTGGTTGTAACGGTTGCATGTCGTGACTGAAAGTGCAAGTGGCGGGTTTATTGTAGAAGGTTGGCGGAGTCGGAAAAATTTATTCGTAGCACATATACCCGTGAGCACACTTGTGATTTGGGACATATTTCAAGTGAGCATTGACAAGCGTCCGCTGATGTTATTGGACAATTTGTCAAAAGTCGGTTCGTTAAAGGGAAATGTCCATCTCCTAAAGACATTCAGAGACTTGTGTGCACAGAGTTGGGATGTGTTGTTAGTTACTGGAAATGTTGGCAAGGGAGACAACATGCATAAGATTTTGTGAGGGGCACGCTGGATCACGAGTACGCAGTATTAGAAGCGTACCGTTATATGCTTGAGTTGACAAACGGCTTTGAAGTGGGACAGGAATATGATGTTTAAATATTTTTTTGTTGCTTACGGTTCTACTATAAGGGGTTTTGTAAACATAGGAAAGGTGTTGGCTGTTGATGGTTGCTTTCTGACGGGAAAGTATGGAGGTACATTGTTGGTGGCCACTACACAGGACAGCGAGAATCACACATATCCTATTGCATGGTGTGTGGTTGACTCTGAGAATGACGAGTCGTGGACTTGGTTTTTTCAGCAATTACGTACGATAGTGCCTGACAGTGACGAGTTGTGCATAATATCCGATAGGCACAACTCTATAAAGAAGGGGATTGCCACTATTTACCGTCAAGCACATCACGGATTATGTATGGTGAGAATATAAAACAAAAGTTTAAGTGTGTTGGCCTCCTTCAGACATACTACATGGCAGGAAAAGCTTATCGGGTTGATGGTTCGAGGAGCACTTCCAGCAAATCCGAATTAAGGATTAGAGTTGCTAAGTATCTTAAGCATGATGTTGGTTTCGAACGATGGAGTAGAGCTTACTTTCCTGGAAGAAGGTTTGATGTCATGACCACGAATATAGTGGAGTCCATAAATTCGAAGTTGTTAATAGAAAGAGAGTTTCCAATAGTTGCACTTTTTTATGCAATCCAGAGAACATTGTCATGGTGGTTCCATGAGCGTCATGCGGAGTCAGATAATTTTACTAAAATCCTTGTTCCGTCAGCTAAAAAATTATTGCAAGAATGTATAGAACTGTCAAATGCACTGTTTGCCTATCCTCTTAATGCTCAAGAGCTCACTGTGCGCGGCTATGGTCCGAATGCCCTAGTTAACCTTGTTAGTAAACTTGCAGCTGTAAAGTGCTTGACATTCAATGTTTACCTTGTCCTCATGCACTAGCAGCACTGAAACACCAACGAAAGCTAGATTTTGGTTCAAGAATTTACATGGAATTTGCTTCCCTCTCTATATGGCAGATCACTACATGCTAGCTTATTCAGAAACATATATCCAGTGCCTCTAGAAGAGCAGTGGGTAGTGCCGCCAGAGTTGGTTGACATTATCATCCATCCGCCATTCAAGAAGACAATAAAGGGGCGAAAAAGAGTTAAGCGAATTCCATCAGCCTCTGAGGTTCCCCGAAAGATGAATAAGTGCTCAATTGCAAGCAACCTGGCTACAAGAGAAGAAGTTGCCAGAAGTAATCTGCAGATCTAGAATAAGGTTCGAAGAAAGATGAAATTCAGGAGTTGCGAAGGCCAACGTTGAATAAGGTTATTGTTTTCAATTATTGATGTTATAAATTTTATTGTTACCTTTAATAAATTATTCTTTATATTTCTTGTTACATGGCCTAAATATTTGTTGGTGATTTTAGTTTGGAATTAGGTTGTCAAATTGAGGAGAAAGTATGGAATTAATACGTGTTGGTAATTTTAATTTGTCAAAATTCAGGAGAAAAGCTGGAAAAGTATATATTGCCCATGATCGCTTAAGCGACTAAGTATATCGCTTAAGTGACAAAGGGTTTTTCAAACAAGATCGCTTGAGCGATATCACGGATCACTTAATCGACCAAAACAAAAAGACAAGAATCACTTAAGCGATATCTCGGATCGCTTAAGCGATCATGCACCTGGGCCGATTTGATTCTATCAATCACATGATCGCTTAACCGATCCACGATCGCTTAATCGACCAAGTGAAAAAGAAAAGAATCGCTTAAGCGATATCTACGATCGCTTAAGCAACCCTGTGTAAACGAAGCCCCTTTTAGTACGATCGCTTAATCAACTAACGAAAAATTTTAAAATTTAATAAATACACCCCCACCTACCCAACTTCCCAGATTCTGGCCACCATCGCTGGAATCCTACTGGGAAAGGGTGTTACGACGCATAGCGGTCGAATCAGGTTGATATGGCGTCGATATGGTCTTTTCCGACCAGATCGACCACGGATGTGGCTGGAAAAGGCCTGATCACGGCTAGATCTGGACGTTGACGGATAGAAAAGTTGACATCTAGCTGTCTGCAATGGCCAAATATATGACCATCGTTTTCGGTCAATGATGCCCAAGAATTGGCATCGTTTTCGGTCAACGATGCCAAATTTTTTGG